ATTAAATTTGTTTGAACAATATAATGTATTAATAATATAAATGTTATTTAAAAAAATGATAATTAAAAAAATCACTTCTGTTCACCAAGAGATCTAAATGTTTTTAATACTAATAGATAGTAATATTTGGAAGTGGGAAGTAGAGGCGCAAGAGCGTAAGTAAACAGAATTCCTTTTATAGATGTTAAGTGAATATTTTTAACTTTAGTAGAAAAACTGTTTTCTGGCAAGAAAAATCAATTATGGCGAAGCAATCATCGGGGTTAGTGAGCGGCAGCGAACAGGAGGCTTAGCCCCCTAGTAACATTATATTATTCAAACAAATCTGATGAGTTCACAGCCATAATTTAATATTTTCGCTTAGCGGGCGGATATATTTACTAATTTTGTTGCATCTCATAATGCATAAAGCTGATCGTTATTTTCAAAATCATTTAACAGATCTCTTTAACTGTAATTTATAACTGTATATTATTGCTATTTGCACAAAAATAATAATTGTAAAACGGTTAATAAGATTGGACCAACTTTCTCCATAACTTTACGTTAAAATGAAGCGCAAAAATACATTATAATAACAAAACAAATTTTTTTTCTTCTTAGTTTTAAACTGAATTAAAGGCTGTAATAATAACAGTACAGGAAAATAACTTTAAATTAGGGATATAAAAATATTTATAGAAAAACATTACCTTTATAACTTTTATTAATTTTATGCTGACGACAACAATGGAAAACTGCGACACCATCATATAGTAAGAAAACTCATTGAAATTGGATAAATATGTTAAATTATTGGAATTATATTAGTTTGAAAATAGTAATTTTTATTAAAATTCAAAACTCAAATAATTGATTTTGTAAATTAAATAAGTTTCAATGAGGAATAACTGTTTCTCTTAGATCTAAATAACTGCAAAAGAGTGCAAATTTGAGAAATTGTTGTTTGGAAGCTTTTTCTTTAACGTAGAAAAAAAAACACCCATGTCTTATGCTGTATTTCATGACCGTAAGTCATTATAATGCTATTTACAATATTTTTTAAACTTAATTTGATATAAATTAATACAAAATAATGAAAAAATATGAAAAATATGTTTAATAAAATTTCTGCGTCAATGGGTCAAATGACAAAAATGTTTTTCTTTTCCTTATTAGACGCTTTGTTTTAAAATCATATATCGAAACTAAAGAAATTTTTTAGATGAATAAAATAATATATAATTGTATGAAACAAAAGTTTTATATTAAAATTTAATGTAAGATGTAAAAGTCAGGATATAAATTAAATAAAATGTTGAAGTTTTATGTACGAAAAGTTTTGTTAATATGCAAAAGACTAATCCATAAATTTATGACATAAATTGTTATTCTCTTACGTATTATGCTCTTAGTTTTACATTTATGCTTAGAAACAAAAGACAAGGTTTTAGATAAATGGCATAATATGTTATGACATAATACGTATTAAATATGTTATATTTAAACTTAATCAAAGATAGAAGGTAAATTACCTAAAATGTTATTGTTTTATGTAGGAAAGGTTCGTTAAGATGCAATAGACAAATCCTTAAATAGATTTCATAGATTGTTATTCTTATACTCTTTAGAGAAATTACATGATATGTATCTTTACGTATGGGAAGTTTTACATTAAAGTTTAATTTAAGATGCAAAAGACGGGAGATGATTTTTTTAATAAATGTTATTGTTTTATGTACGAAAAATTCGTTGAGATGCAAAAGATAAATTAAAAAATAAATGATATAAAAGGGTTTTTTTCTCTTATGCGTATTAGATGCTTCGCTTCAAAATTATATTCAAAAGCAAAAAATATTAATTTTCTTAGTAAATGTAATAATATGAAATTTTAAAAATGGAAAGTTCAAGTAAATTTAAAATCAAAGTTAGAAATTAAAATTTAATGTAAAATGCAAAAGTAATGAGAAATATTATATAAAATGTTATTATATTTCATTTATAAAGAGTTCGTTAAGATGCAAAAGACAAATTCATAAGTGAATGACATATTTTTTTTCTTCTCATTTATTAATATTTCTTATTTTACTTGTGGATAGTTTTACATTTAAATTAGGTCGAGCGCAAATCTTCATTTATGTTGTTCTGAATACAAGATAAACAGAATGCGAAAAAAGACATTATATTGAATAACTTCGGTTCTAATGATTATATTTTCACGTACCATGTACCAATTTTATTTGTTAAAAAAAGTTGACCTAAATGTGCAAAATGATTAGTGCTAACTATTAAGTTTCGGAACTAGACATACAACCTTACATTCTCGGAATAAACGTACATTTTTTCAACGGATTTAGATTTAGAGCGTTCACCTTCTAATGAGGTGAACCGGGTTCAATTCCCAGCGATGGCTGGTTGATACGAGTTCCGCATCCGGCTTGCACCCACCATAGTGCTTACGCAAAGTATCCTCAGTGGGAGACGGATCATGGGTTAGAGTCCCCTTGCGTCAGGCTAATCGCGAGAGTTTTCCGTGGTTTTCCACTTTGTGCAACGAAAATGTGGGTTAGTTCCATCAAAATGTCCTACACGAAAACATATTTCTCCCAATACTGGATCCAGGAGTTCCCTTGTCTTCTGGATTGGGTTCCAAATTACAAGGCAAAGGAGTTGAACATTGGTAACCGTAAACTCAAAATTGGGTTGGCTGTTTAACAACGGTTATAAAATAAAATAAAATAAAAATACTCAGAGTAATAATGGCAGAGCGTTCGCTTCAAAAGGTGACCGAGGTTCGAATCCTAGCGATGGCTGCTCAAATTGAATTTTGCTCCCGGATTTCAACGGTTGACGACTTATGGGTTAGATTACCACCTGGCTAACCATGGGAAGTTTTCATGGCTTTCCCTCCAACGCAAATTTGGGTTTGATCCATCAAAACGTCCTTCACGAAGGTTATAGTTTGATTCAATGCTTGAACCAGGATTTTTTCCATCTTCTGGATTAAGTTCAAAATTACAAGGCTATGAATTAGGCATGTCTAGCTGCAGGCCTAAAGCAGGATTGCTTGTTCAAATCAAAATATGAAATCGAGAAGACATGGTTCCAGTACTTTAAACAAGAGAGAGGTCAAAAGGTTTGGTCAAAATAAGATTAATTCAATTTTTTTGCGTATTTCGCAGTATGTTGGGCAACTTTGAAAACGTCATGATAACACACGTGATAGCAGATATTCTTTCAAGTCATAACAGATGTTAAACAAACGAGTTTTTATAATTTAGGATTAGGATAAATACCCAAAATAAACTGAAGCCAAAACCCTACGTATTCACGAATTTAATTGAAAATTCAATAATGTTTCTTTTTTAAGTTTTATAAAATTATTTATGGTAAAGTTACAAATAGTTTCTGATCAGTTTGATGATAAATAATTTCTTACTTACTAAAAAGGCAAATTCATTCTATTGAATATATGAATATTTATTGAAATCACTTTTTAAAGTAGTTTAACCCATTATAAAATTCACTTTCCTGTCCTCAATAATATTATTTTTTACAATAACATTCTGTCAAAGTCAAAAGTATAAATTTAAATAGCAAAAGCTTATGGTTTTAAGTAAATTACTTTAGTAAGCTAATTACGTAAAACAAAAGTCTGCAACAGTCGTTTTTTCTGAATAAAAATAATTCTTACCTATCAGGTGGTTTATATATATTATTGCAATATTTTAATATATTAAATAGTAATATTTATTACATTAGTTTGGCATAAGTTTTTTGTAAGTTTCTATATTATAGTTTCTAATTGATCAAAAACAGTTCTTAATGTTTGCATGGGTGTGCTTAATGTTGTTTAAAGGTGCTTAAACAGTGCTTAGTGTTGTTTCAAGGGTAAAATAAGTATGCACTGGCCTAAAAATTCACTACTTTTGCGTTTTAAGTTCAAACAGGATTGCGAAATTTCTTCTACAATAGAAAAACTGCCCTGGAGAAAATGAAAGGAAAGGCTTTTTTCATTTAAAACTTCAAATTTGACTCAATGAATAAATTAATTCTAATTAAAGATTTTTATTTTTTAATCATATAATGTTAAATAGCGCATTATTATGTGATAACTAATTTTTGAGAACACTGAAATTTATAATTTCTTACGGGAATGAAACGTTGGAAAAAAAAATTATTGAAGTTGTTTGAAAACTTATTATTTAAAACTTTACTATGCATAGCATATTTTAAATTTCATATAATCCTTTGCAAATTAATCTATTTTTCATTCAGAATAAAAAAAGTGGACTGTAATAAAGGCAAACTTCGGAGCTAATAATTTAAAATCAATGACTACTCCTAGTGTATTGATGGCATTATTAAAAGTCAAAAATGCCATCAATTATTCTATATTTGTATTTGCATTCTGGGAAATCTATATTTGTATTGTGGGAGTTTATTTATGTTTTGCTCTTAGTTTGAAAAACTGATCATTAAAATAAAATAAAATTGCTCGAATTAATATTTCTTCTCATGCCGAAAGTAAAAATTTAAAAATTCACAAAATTTTTTTTTTATATAATATTCTAGATGAATATCCGTTCTTCGAACAGGATGCATGAAAAATGGAAGAAAAAAAGTTAGTATTGAGCAAAATTTTGAAAAAAAGTAGAAAACTAAAAGGCATATACCAACACAATTAATAAAGCTAAAGTAATACAAATTATTTATTTATTTATTGACGTTTGTTATCCTTCATAGTGGCTTTCCGCTATTAAATTAAGTAAAACGCGTTTTTTTTTGTAGTTCAAATCAACAGAATGTAGATAAGTTATATTCAGAATCTTGGCATGATGCTATTGCCCAAATCATGATAGTTAAAGCTTTACCTCTATCAAAATAATTTTTTTTTCTGGTATCTATTTCTTTCTAGGAGCTGTAAAACACTTATTTCCACAGTATGGGTATCAGTATCTCTTGAAAATAAATTCACGTAAAAAAATTTTCTATTAATTCCATTAATTTTAATCTTTTAGGGTAGTTCACCTTGGTAATGTTCTAAATACAAGACTTTTACAAAGTGGACACTCAGGAGTTGTCTGTGTCAATGAAACCAACCCTTTTATTTCCTTCAAAATATTGAAAAAACATCAGCATGTCAAGTTCTGTAGTTCTTTTTAGCCTCATTGTGATGTTCTGGGGAATTGTAACCCCTTTTACAAGTGAAACATACATTGAAGATGGTATAGTTGAGAAGAACAGCTCTGAGTTTTCCACTATAGAAAACGAAGCAGTTTTGGAAGAGAATTCGGCTGAGAAGAACAATTTTGAATTCCCCACTCTGCTAAGTGACTCAGTTTTCAAAGAGAATCCAGCTGCGAAAAACAAATCAGAATTCCCCACTCTAGAAAATGGCGCAGTTCTTGCTGAGAATTTAGTTGAAAAAGACGATTCTGAGTACCACACAGTTCCAGTTTTTGTAGAAAATTTAGACGAAAACAACAGTTCACAACCTGCCATGTATGATGATGAATACAGCGGCAAGGATGAATCGTTCTTGTCGTGCGACAAATGGGATTATGATCCCACTGAATTTGAGATACTTCCAAATGGTTCAGCATTTGTGACATCAAAAAACCTAACCTATGAAGAACCATTTTACCATGTAATTAACAACTTTTTGGTAGTTTGCATACCCGAAAATAATGGAGACGACAGCGATGATGGCAAGAACACGAGAACAGCTATATCGTATCTGTCTTTGACTGGAGTTGCTATATCGATGGTGTGCTTATCGATACATCTTATCGTCTTTTCACTGGTGCCTGACATGCAGAATTTGCCAGGGTGTAATCTGGCATCTCTATGTGCTTCTTTATTGCTGAGCTATCTGTTCATGCTCATTGGTCAAGATCGGGAAGAGGATGGCTATCCCATCATATGCATGATAGCTGGTGTTTTGACCTATTTCTTTTTCTTGGCTTCATTTCTTTGGATGTCCGTAATTGCTTTTGATGTGTGCCGCTCTATTGTGTTAGCTGCTGGCAAAATGAGGATAACGAGGCATCAATTCAGAGTGAAAAAATTTCTGTGGTACCATCTTTTTACATGGTGTACCGCCTTGGCGTTCACGGTAACTGCGGTCGTTGTTGATAACGTGGAAGGGGTTGAAAAAAACTTTCGTCCCATGTTCAAAGATACATGCTGGTTCAAAAAGAAAGAATCTCTTCTGGTATTTTTTGCCGTGCCCGTGGGTTTCCTTATTTGCCTCAACGTTTTCTTTTTCGGAGTCAGCGCATACCTGACTTTTAGCAACCAAATGAAACCGAGTCTTGAAACGCAAGCTCATAATCAGATAAATCACCTCCTATATTTTAGACTTACTGTAATCATGGGAGTCTCGTGGATCATGGGAGTGGTAGCTCCCCTCGTGAATGTCACGTGGGTTTGGTACCTGTTCGTAGCTTTGAACACTTTTCAGGGACTTTTCATATTTCTTGCTTTCACATGTTCACCAAAAGTGAAAAAGTTCATTCAACAGAAATTGATAAATGTTCGAAGATCATCACAGGCAACGCTATCGCCAACATTCCAGTCTTATTTCAATTATTCAAGTTCGAATGCGAAAGCTTCAGACAAAGTCGCCGATAATACAGATAAGCCTGTAAAGAATGGCCTTGGCAAAGTCGTCGATTTTAAAGATAAGTCTTTAGAGAAAGGCTTAGATAAAATCACAGAATCTACAGATAAGCCTTTAAAGAATGGCCTTGAAAAAGTCGCCGATTTTGAAGATAGGTCATTAGAAAAAGGCCTAAATAAAATCACCGATTCTACAGATAAGCCCTTAAAGAAAGGCCTTGAAAAAGTCACAGAGTTTGAGGATAAATTTTTAGAGAAAGGCCTAGACGAAGTAACCAATTCTAAAGATAAGTCTTCAGTGAAAGGCATAGTCAAAGTCGTCAACTCTAATGATGAGCTAATGGAAGATGCTGTAATACATCTGTAATTTTTATGGCTTTTGCACACATAATATTGTATATGAAGCATTTGAACAATGGAGTTTGAATGGATAACACTATAATGGTTTGTAATGGATAGCACTATAAGATATGATCTATAACATCGGTTAACAAATGGTGTTCCGAGAAAAGGTTACAGGAGTACCGAGAATTAGGAATTTTTTTTAAACGAGTAGTGTTTTTCGAAAGCTGTAATTAAATTTATATCCTATTAATAATCCGTTAATTATTTAATATATTCGTTATTTTTATGAAATTACTTAATTGAAATGCTTGTAAGGAACGAAGTTTCAAAAGAATGTTTTTATAATAACAATATAAAAAATGAATTATGAAAAGGATATTCCTTTATGAAAAATTCCATTAGTATTTCAAATCGAATAAGAATACCCAATTTCAGAAAAGAAATATGTTTCTCTGATAACCATTTATTTTCTTCCTTTTTCGTTTTTATGTTAATGTAAACCAAATTTTTTTTCTCATTCATTTTAGTTTAGGCATGCATTAAAACCAAATTAAGACTCTCCAGATTTATGACCCTGATATAAGAACCAATTTTAAGACTAATATTGATAATAAGACATAATGTTCAATCATTCACTAAATATTTTCGAAATAATTAAGAATCTTTCGTTAATTAATATATTCATTATTGCAGATGAAATTTGTTCATTAAGTCTCGGAGTTTCACCGGAAGAAGCTCGATTATTTAGGGCAGCTGTTCCTAACCTATGGGTCGCGACCCAAAATTGGGTCGCGAAGCATATTTCTTGGGTCGCGCTGAGTCGAACCAAAAAAGTTAGTTCTACACCAAATAATAAGTAATACCAACACCTCCTAAAAGAAGTCATTGTGGCTTACTCAGCCTAATTTTGACTTTTTTTTGGGTCGCGACATGAACATATTTCTCAAATTTGGGTCGCGGCTTAAAAAGGTTAAGAACCACTGGTTTATACCACTATAATTATATNATGTTTGATAATATAGTGTCCTTTTTACCACTCAATATCATCAAACTAATGGGACATAAAAAGTTTCAACATTTTGAGATTTTTTTTCTCGTTAAAATAAATAGTGCAAATGAGTTTCTTGACTAAAATAAATAACGTAAATGATCGATTAAAACTGGGTTGCCTTAAGTCGTCTAAGAATGCAAAGCGTTGTGACTAATAGTATTTAAATTTTATTAAAAGAGATCAAAATTAGCAACTTGATATTGCATATTTAGGTCTGCCACCTACTACGTATTTTACAAAATATTTTATGGAGTGGTAGGCATTTAAAAAACCAAAGCTTCCTGAATTTTTGGTAATTTTGCCAACATTTTTAAAGTTTTCCCGCAAAGAGCTGGGAAAAATAAATAGTGTTGCATATGAACTTTTAAATTATTTATATAGTGGTAAGGAAAATAAGTTCGAATGAATTAAAAATAATACCTATAAACATTATCTTAGCTACCACTAGAATATAATTTTGAAAAAGCGTTGAAAGTTGGCAGCCCTGCAAAGGTCAAGGAAAAATTGTATTTTTGTCTCATTTTAAATATGAAATGTAACTTCGTTTCGTTTTTTGCCCACATTGAACAAAAAGTGCTGCTAAAACTCACTGGTTTCCACAGCATGATCTTTTTTTTATGCTTTTTTGAAATCAATACATCCACAAAAACAGTAAAGGTAACAGCATAAAATTTAGAGTGCATATTTTTCCGTTGTTTTACTTCAATTTTTCTTGAAATTTGTAAAACATTTTGAAATTTTGCTTCATGTTTTTAGATAGAATATTTTTTATTTAAAATTAAAAAAATAATACTCTTTGCCGTAGCATTATTATTTGGTTATTAATATTTTGCTGACCGAATAATGTTTTTTTTTTTTTTGAAAAATCATGGTAACTTGTACATGACTAAACCTGCTACATGGACTAACCACACAGAAGTCTATTTAGTGCATATACGAGGCCTGTCTAAAAACTATCCGACGTTTGGCCAGAAAAAATATTTCAAATACCTGACTGAGTTGGGACTCTTATCCCCTTCAAAGTAGACCCCTTGTGCTTGCACACACTTAACCCACCGATCCTTCCACTGCTGGAAACACCTCTGGAAGTCTTCTTTTGGAATGGTGTTCAGCTCCGTCATCGCGTTCCACCTTATCTCTTCTCTACTCTCAAAATGGGATCCTTTCAGTGGCGTCTTCAATTTTTGTAACAACCAGAAGTCGCAAGGAGCCAGGTCTGGGGAGTAGAGAGGTTGACAAACGGTTGTAATTCCATGTTTGGCTAAGAAAGTGTGGATTAATTGGGATGAATGTTCAGTGGTGTTGTTGTGATGCAAGTGCCAGTTCTTCGCCGCCCAGTTCGCCAGTTGTTCATCGGTTGAACCACTCCTTAATTTGTGTTACACCCATCGCTTCTTCTTCAAACACCTGCTAAATCTTACGAATTGTTTGGCTTTGAGAATCACCAAGCTTTTCACAGAATTTGATGCAGCATCTTTGCTCAATTCGTTCAGTCATCTTGAGAGAAAACTAAATCCGACGAACACTGCGAACAGCACCTTACTTACCACCAGCCAGCGACTTGCACAAGCGAAAGCGGTGAAAAAATTCAAACACATGCATTAAGGTTCCTCCTTCTTCAGTGCACTGTGGTGTCGCCTTGGAATCACTACTTTGCGCGGTAAAAATTAAGGTCGGATACTTTTTAGACAGGCCTCGTAGTCTCATAAGAAATTATTGAATTTCAATTTTCTTTGTTACTCTTGAAAAGTTTTGACTCATCTTTGGCATGAAACAGTTAAAGATGATTCGAATGATGTCTGTTAAGTTATCATTTATCCTTTATATCCTTGTCTCTTTGTTTATTTAGTTGCTTGTTTGTGTTTTATCAAAGTAATTATTAGTTGTTTGTGTTTTATCAAAAAATTTTATTTTAAGACGTCTATAAAATAGGAAATTTCGAGCTGCCAATGTTATTAAGACTGTATATGTAAGTATAAACTGCCTTTGCTTGGATATTTTTGTACCTTTTACAATTGTTTGTTGATAATTTAATTTCATTTATTACGTTACTTTAATATTTTTTGTATTATAAGTCTCTCTGTTCTATTACTTTCATTTATATGTAAATAAGAGTATATCGCTATTTTAACTTGTTTTTGGCATTTTTCACTTATAACTTTTAACTATATGTGGGTAAAATTCCTTTATTCATGGTGCTCTTTTAACATTTCTTGAAAATATGTCTTCAAGTTATTGCAAAATGTATGTAGATATATTGGTTTTATTATGTCATTTTAGTATGTTTTGATAAGATAATTTAATATTCATTTGTATGAATACAAGATTTATGATGATATTTCAAGGTGTTATGGAAAGATTCCTTCATAACTTAAATTTACATGTATATGTAAATACGATTCGTTAATTCATGTCATATGAATACAAGATTTATGATGATATTTCAAGGTGTTATGGAAAGATTCCTTTAAAAATTTCATTTACATGAATATGTAAATACGATTCGTTAATTCATGCTGCCATTTTAATAATTTTTAAGAATGTGAATAGAATATATAAAAGGTTAAGTTCTCCTAGAACAATTTATTCAAAATATTAGCATAACTTTAACAAACGAACAAACATTACTAACAAACTTAAGCATAATGCTGTAGTTATGAGACCAAGCTAGCTAGCAAAAGATTTAATTTGTCTGTTGAAAGAACTCCCCTCGTCATGAACTGTATATCGTCTGCTGCTATGGAAACAAATAATAACTCATTTCAAAGAGGAGAGCTTCTCTCTCCTCTGATCCCCTTTCTCTCGACGACCCGATCCAATGCCTGTCTTAATTAATGACCTAACCTAGATTAGTTAAACTTTGTAACCATAGCAACCGCTACTACTCTAGTCGAATGGCTAGGGGAGTTCTTTATGTAGACAAATTATACATTCTACTTCTTCACCTGACGGAGGATGTTTATCACAGGGTTGACTGCCTTTGCCTCAAAACACGCCCCAAGTTGGGGAGTAAATATACTGGACAGAAACTGGTGGGAAAGAGTGGTGAAAATTGCTGGTTAAAACTGGTGAGAGTGGTGAGCACCACAAATGTATTTACATGTTACATTTAAATATATGATTATTTCATTTATTATATTCATTAATTTCCTGTACTCTGACAAAATGTCTCGTTAACTTTCTCGTGACGTTATATATAACCAAACATTGTTATAAATTAATTACGATATAATGAAATTATATACGATATAATTTCAATGTGTTATGGCATTATTCAGTATAACTTTCATTTATATGTAGATAAGATTCGAATTTCATGATGCTTTAATATTATTTGGCTATCTCATTAAGTAATTACATATTGCTTTCAAGTTTATATACATATAATTATTTCAGTTATGTAGTAATTTTAGCATGTTTTGATATTAACTTTTAATTGTCTTCATTTCTAATTTTCATGATGTCATTTTAAAGTGTTTTGACAATATTCCTAGTGAACATTCATTTATACACATGTAGATAATATTTGTTTATTCATGATGTCATTTCAATATTTTTTGAAAACATATATTCATGTTATCTTCGAACATAGACAGATATATTTAGTTGACTTATGACGCCATTTTAATGTGTTTTGATTAGACGATTTTTTGATCTTCATTTCTATGAAGATAAGATTCATGATGTCATTTTAAGGTGCTTTAAGAACATTTCTTGTTAATTTTCATTTATATCGTAAAATTCAGGTTGTCATTTTTAGTATTTTTGAGAATATATCTTGTTGTTAACTTCAAATATATGTAGATATATTTTTTGATTTTTATGATGTGGTCATTTTAAAGCGTTTTGAGTTCTGTATTTAAAGACTTCAATGTTTTTTGTGTTTTATGTTGGGTTCTACGCACTATGATGGGTTCTAAGCTGGGTTCTTTTCTCTATGATGGGTTCTATGCTCTATGATGAGTTCTATGTTCCATGTTGGGTTCTGTGTTTTGCATATTAGTTCTATGTTTAATATTGTGTACATATATGTCTCGACCATTTTTTTAATATAACACTAGGGATCATGTCACTATTCTGGGTAGCCAAAATGTTAGGAAATGGTCAAATATCTCAAGTATTACGCATATGGGTCAAAAATTCAAAAATACTAGTCTCAAACATGACCTCCCAACTTCACCCACTGGAGCAAGGTGTCAACTTCAAGACCTTGAATAGGAGCCCTCTTTCGTCTATTCCAGATTTGGACTTTCCAAATAAAAAGTACACCAATTTAAAATACAGGTAGTTGCCTTTTGTTTCACAGGTGGCGTTGTGATTGAAAAATTGAACGTAGCAATAGTACACAAATGTAAACATTGTCGAACATAAAAATATCTCCAGAAATGCACAAAATTAAAGGTATACCTGTTTAATATTTTGCTTCTTATGGAATCAAAATCAATCTCCTGTTTTCATGCAATTTTCCGTTTCCATATATTTCGGATACCCTGTAAAAGTATTTGCCATTTTAATATGTTTTGAAAATATGTCTTGATGTCATATTCAATTATATTAATATACGGTTATAATAAACCAGGCTAGCTCTCTATGTTATTTTTCAAACATTTTAATTAATATAAAAAATACAAACACAACACTAACAAATATCAAACAACATTTTCGTACTACATATACACATCTACTTGTAAACAAAACGTTCTACAGAAGAATCCGAGAGGATCATGGGTGAAGTTTTCCCTAGCTCCCTCTTTCGGGCAAACCAGGCATTACATCCTCCCCCTCTNATTTTACTACAGAAATTAAG